AGTTCTCGATTCTGGGACACCCCAACTGGTGCTTCCGCGATAGACCGGACGAGTGGACGGAGATGGGCAACTTGCCTTTTGCCCACATACAGAGATTTCAACCTCCAATCATTGGCAACATCAATAATCCACAGCTACTCTTCAGTCCCTTCGAGGCTTCTGTTCGGGAAAGCCGCTCCCCCGTTGGCTTCATTTTCCCACCTCCATCGAAGGATCCGGAACTGTTTGGTCCTAAAAGACACCAGCAGCTCGCCCAACAGCTCATCCAACAGCTGGTGCGTCCGCATCTCTCCACGACTCGCCCCGGGTGCGTTCGCCGGTTCACCCGACAGCCTCAGCGGCTTCGGCAATCGTCACCTCAGCGGGGAACCCGAACGCGGAGGAGGTGTGGCGGGACTGGGGATGTGTGCCCAACATGGCCCGGAAAGGGAAGGCTTGACCAATTCCGGTGCGTTTCCCGGTGGATATTCTCGGTCGTTGGTGTACGATGTGTATGTCTTCTTCTTGGATGCGCGTGGGGGTTTTATATAGAGCAACCCATTGGAGATCTATTTTTGAGACTGACAGGACAAACACATACATATTCTGGGCGGTGGGTGGTCTAAAGTAGAGGTCACAAAAACGGTCGATGTATCAGGACCCACTGTCGGGGTGCTTGATGGACACCCCTTCTATCACCTCTTTTCGGGGGCTATCAATGGAAGCCCCGAATAGTTACGGTGTTCTGGTGATATTCGATCGTCTTTTCAGAGACACTCAAGGCGGCCGAAGAAAAAAAGAAACGTGCCCAACCCCCATCCCGGACCGAGAGAGTGGAGGATCATAGCTGTGGAACTCTTCGACCCGAAGTCCAAGGGTCGCTGGGCGACCAGTGTCCTTTTGGAAGAGGCTCTCTGCCCCTGGCCCTGGCGGGGTAGACTGGACTTGGTTCCCGAAACTTCCAAGGGGTCGTTGCCTGGGAGGTCTCACCTATTTATTTGCTATACGGCCTCCAAAGCCCTTTTTGTCGCCCAGCAACACTCGCAGTCATCGCCACAGCAGTCGGATGCCGCTGCCTGTGGAGTGTTGTTGAGGATGGTCCATTTTCACCCGACACGAGGCTTCAACGATGTGACGGACGAATGCCTCGAATCGAAACATCCATACGCCCAATCCACGAGGTTCATCCGCACGTTCTACCCATCCGTACGTGTTAGTTGCGTCGTTCTCTAATCTGTGCCAGGCGCATTCCAGGCGCATCACCTTCGACCCTCACCGGGAGCTGATCGGTTGATTGACGTGACGTGTCCATTCCCAGAAAGTGGCATCGATCGGCTCGAGGTGTGACTTCTGGAAGCCCAAACAGAGAATGGGCGAGAACATGGTGAGAATGATGAGAAGCAAAAAGAAGATGACACCTATCTATCTATCTATTTATCAATTTATTTAATTATCTATCTATACGTGTATATAAAGTTGTTTCAATATTTCTTGAGCGGCACCCATCATTCTGCCCTGATGCACCTGGCGGCTATCTGGCTCGCCATCTGCGTGCGGAGTCCAAGACGACGCAGGACCATTGGGTTTCACAACCGTCGGCCCCCTCATGTACGTGTTCAGTCTCGCTCTCAAAAGGCAAACTTGTTGACTTCATGAGTAAACATAATGTTTTATATACATACGTATATATATATATATGCCGTATACCGTTGATGTCATGATGACTATTATAGAAAGACAACGTACCTTGCATTGACGGACTCATGTGTCTCATGTGGGCATCACAAACCTCGGTGAGGTCGAGTTACTTCCAGCTATCCCAACCAGGCTTGTCCAACAATAGGGTAAGCTGATGTGAGTTGCCAGCAGTGGAAACCACTATGACTATAACTACCTCAATTCGTGCCGGGTGGTGGGGAGGAAAAAAAAATGTCACACTTCTTTTGTGCGCGTGACTTCCAAACGATCACTCCGAAGTCATCGAACTCCGCATAAACTCCCAATCCCAAGGACTGGACTCGGATATTCCTCGTTGGAATCAAGGAATCGAGGGAACATGAGACTTTGGATCGTGCGAAGCTCAGTGATCTCGAAGGACCTTTGAAAGATGTTGGTATACATGTTGCGCCCCATGATCAGGAAAAGGTCCTCCCAAGGTGCGTTGTAAGCGCTATGCATCGCTACGCTTACTTTGGGAGTGTCCGTGCATTGAGTGTCTGAATTAGGAAAAGTGAATGAGTTCTTGGGCTGCTAGGCAGGTACGGTACCTTGATAAAGGAAAAAGTGGGTCTGTTGATGAAATATGTCCTGAGCGGCTCACGAACACAGAGAGGCGGAGAGAGAGCCCGCTCTTTGATTGAAGAAACTGTCATCATCTCTGTCTTGAATCAGATCAGGTAATTAATGTAGCTGCCTAAACAGTATTATCATCCTGACAGAAGCAAATGATGCTATACCCCTCGAATCCCCTCGATATACCTGTCCCCACACTCAGCAGATCTTGGCACAGCTCCTTCCTGGTCCAGCTATGTTTTACCCAGCGCATCCAAGTTACCAATATATAAGGAACCAGGGATTCTAAGTCTATGGGTTTAGTCTTTGGAACCACTGGTTACCAGCCAACTATAGTGGTTTGCCTGGGTGCCCTGGGTTACGCATCGCAACAGATCAACGAAAGGAGCCCATCTGGTCCACCCTCAAGCCCCACGAAACATATCAGTAGTGGTCACCACCGGAAAAAAACACCACTCTCTCCAGAGCCGCCGAACGTGACTGTCACCCACTGCACTCTTGGGAACCATGGTTGTAAAAAAAAGAAACAACAACAACAACAAGGTACAAACAAAAACTGCAGCCCCGTTACAAGATATCTTGTTCCTTTGTCTCTACAAGGGGGTGGAAACAAAATCTGCAACCCCGTCGTTGTTATTTTGCCCCCCCCCCCGAAAACAACCAGCCAACATGTACTTTTACCAGTAGTGGTAGTGCTTGTACTAGTGGTTCTAGTACTAGTAGTAGTCGTTGTTGTAGTGGTCGTAGTCGTAGTCGTAGTCGTAGTTGTAGTCGTAGTCGTAGTCGTAGTCGTAGTAGTAGTAGTCGTAGTAGTAGTAGTAGTAGTGGTAGTAGTGGTGGTAGTAGTAGTAGTGGTAGTAGTAGTAGTAGTAGTGCTAGTGGTAGTGGTAGTAGCAGTAGTAGTAGTGGTGGTGGTGGTGGTCCGGTCAGCTAAGCCTCTGTAAAACTTCTACTTAGAACCTCTACCACATCCTAGAGACAAAAACTGCAGCCCCGCTGTTGTTTTTTTGAACCCCGCCTCAGAAGATGTTGTTGCCTCTACCCCCCCTAGAAACAAAATCTGCAGCCCCGTTGTTGTTTTTTTACCTCCCCTCCAGAACAACATCCCAAAAAACATCAAAAAAACAAGAAACAGACCAACCAAGACTTGAGTACCACAACGACAAGAAGTCCAGCTACTAACATCTCTCCAAACCTTCAACCCTATCCCTAACAGTGTCCCTTTGAAATCCCTAACTTGCAACATGTGACAACTATGTTGGGCAGCTGTGTTTGTCTCTACCAACAACAACAACAACAACAACAACAACAACAACCAGAACCAGACTGCAAGCTCTTCTGGAACAGGTCTCCCTCTTTGGACATCTATGTTGCACCCTCTGAACCGCACTGGCCGCGACCGCGCGCTCCGTGGCCACCTCTTTGGGCAAAGGTCCCTTCGACCGCTGCAGCCAGCGAGGCCTGGCCGACGGTTTTTCCAACGTGTCGTCGGTGGCGCCGATGTAGAGACCCAGTGATGCGACGCAAAAGGTGTGAGTAAAATAACTGTTTATAAATCTGTTTGAGCAACGTCCGTCCAAATGTGATTGCTGAGTGTTCTTTACTATAATGGCTCATGGACGATATATGGCTGCGGCTCATGGCACCAGGATAAGTACGCATATGGACACCGACCGGTCGACGGCGTCGGTCCTTCATGGAGGACTGGTGCTTCATGGCACCAGGCCTTTCTGTTTTTCACCCATCCCCAGTCCGAAAACCTGCAAAGGTGCGTGACCCAGCGATTTCGCTGTGCTCAGCGATTTCGCTGTCTTCCCCCTTTCAACAAAAGGACTCGTGGCGCCCCAGAATCGATATAGCTCACTGAGACCCTCGTTGGGTGTCACCGCCGAACGCACCAAACAAACCGTGTGGACGGATCCGATCACCGTCACGGACGTAACCCGCCTCCACGTCTTCGGGCTCCAGGAAGTGCTTGGCCCAAAACTGCCCGTTGAGGTGGAAGACCGGAATGTCACACCAATACCTGGCAGCTTCACGACTTCGGGCGTTCCGATGCGGTCTCTGCGCAGAGCGCTCTGCGCAAGTTCCACCGCGGGTCGGGGTCTCGGGTCCTCGGGGTCGATCTCGGTGCCCGGAAGTCCAGCGCGGTGCGACTGGTGCGACTGGTGCCATTGGTTGGGGAGGCGGCGGCTGGGTGCTTGATTGCAAGGGTACAGATTGTGGGGGGCCTGCAGGTGTTGGATGGTTTTGGATGGTTTGGCAGGGCGACGTTGCTAGTATACCAAAAGAATCAAGAGAAGAACGTAAGCTAGCAGCAAAGGCGGGGGACAGGGATGTCTTTCTGTTGGGTTCAGGGATGATTGAGGCCGTATGTTGCGGAGGTTAAGGACTTTTGAGGGTCCTAGGTAGGAGAAAGATGGAGAAATGTTTCACATCAAAGGGCATCAAAGGACGCGACTCGAACGGAACAAAGGGCATCGCTTTGTCGAACGGAGCGATCGGACGCGACGAACGGAGCCAGGGTCGGACTCGTAGCGTCCGGACTCGCTCCGTTCGCAAGGCCAGCCGCGGAGGTGTTTTGCGGATGCGCCGGGGTTCATGGTAAGTGGTAGAGTGGGACTGGCTCTGTAAGTCACGATGCTCTGTAAGTGAGTGCCAAAGTCGCTCCAGTGGGACCCGGGTTTTAGCGGCCTTAAACGATGAAGTCACATTACAATACATTACAGCACTCATTTACAGTGCACTCGGTAGACCTCAACTTCGAGTTGTTGGTGGCCTCAAGTGTCCTTCGTCTTCAGCCTTCTCCGCTCCCTTTTGGCGCTATCTGGTGAAACTCCCCATCCTGGAAGGACCGGCATCAGCTTCGCTGATCCGCGGCGCACTGAAGGCACTCACGCCCCGACCCCAAAAAAGGCAAAAATACATCGAACGAACGCGTGACCCTGCCGATGAAGCCCCAAGGCGGCCGTGTTCAGCCGAAAACGCCGCGACTCTTCGAACGGAAGGCTCCACCCGGTCGCTTCGGTCATCCGTCACCCTCACGGTGGGTGGCTCGTGGCTCTCGCTCACCGACTGATGCGCGACTGCACGGTGGCGCGCTTCGAGCGCGGCGCCGTGTCCTGGATCAGCTCGCTGGCGCGGTCCGTACCGCCAGAGTCACGGATCTCCTCGGCCAACAACTGGGCATTGAGGCGGAAGCTGCGACGGGTGCCGGTGCCCAGGAGCTGCTCGAGCGACCACCAGAGCTGAGCCTGCAGCGGGGACCGAAGCAGCATGAGCGGAAAGAGGGTGTTGTTGGGAGATCTTGAAACGGCACCCACGATTCTTGGCCGGAGCCATTGTTTGACAAGGCGGAAACCGGCAAATTTTGTGGTAGCAAGGTGAGAACAAAAGAGAAACATAAAGAGACGGTTTTGAGGCGTCCAGACGGTGTCTTTAGGCTTAGCGGCGTCTTTCCCCGTCGGATTTTGAGCACATTTCAAACCCCGTTGATGACGGTGTCTTTTCACAAGCAAAAACACCGTTGAAAAAGGAAGAACACCGTAACACTTGTTTCTTTGCATACGTTTTGAAAAAGGTGACAAGGGCCATGCGGCCGTATGCGGCCATGCCTTGATTTACTTAGTTTCAGGGACTCTGCGAAAAGAGGAACTGAACTTGGAACCTGGAGGGTGCCGGGGGTGATGTAGGTGGTACCATGTGATTATGTATTCTTTTCAGGGCAGTCTTCGCGGTTCGTTTTTCTTTTTGCCAGGGTCTTTAGCGAGCTTGGAGACACAGCCATTAAGGTTAGATACCAGCACCTTCAAAGGGGTCACCAATGGAAGCCCCTACACTACTAAGGGACCTCCATTGGACACCCCTTGAAGGTCCAGGTAGACTCCTTTTTGTCAGACATCAACCGCGCAGAAGTGAGTTCGTGCCCGTGCTGCCATGGCCGTGAAGGACAGCCATGGCAGCCAACCCCCCGGAGACCGTCGTTTTGGCCTCGTAGGCCACCAGATCTCCAGTGAAGATCACCTTTTCACCCACCCCCAGGTGCTGCACGCGCGAGGCATTCAAGAGTTCTTCCGCATGATCAGGTGAACTTGGACAAATGATCAATGGGCTCCCCACTGACAAGCTTTCCATGAAATCCGTCTGGCTTCCATGAGTGATGAAGAGCGTGGGTTCCGCCAACTTCAACAACTCCACAGAAGGCACCTCTGTAGTGCGGCAATTCTCGGGCCAGGACGCCTCTTTGTCGTCGAGGTCGAGCTGGGACGCGATGGAGAAGATCACCAAGGGATCTGCAACGAGGGAGCTCCCAGGTCCGCAGGCTTTGCAAATGGTCCGACAAAGCACCTCGCCCAGCTCAGAACTTGGAGTTGGATGCATCAGGGAGACCAAAATGATGTCTTTCTTGTTCCGCATGGCCTGTGAAATGTCGTGCGCTAGATCTTGGTCTATACAGAATGACTGTTTGCGATCAACCTTCATCAAAGGCCCCACGAATTCGAACTTTTTGCCCTGCACAAAGAAGACACACGCATCCTTCTCGGTCAGCGGATCTGCTAAGGATTGCAGGCTTGTGACCAGATTCAAATGCGTGTAATTCTCGTGCACCAGGGGTTCAGAGCTGTTCCTGGGACCACGGGGACCGTTCGAACAGCGTTTCAGAACATGTGGGCAGCCCCAAATAGCATACCAAAATTAACCAAAAGAGTGAGCCCAACTCAACTCGGCTTCAAAGAAAGGTTAGGCTTCTGCAAGAGCCTGCGGACTTGTTCGATCGCCTTGGCATTGGGCAGATTCGCCCGAATCTTCTCAATGAGGCCTCACCAGGTCACCCCGAAAGCGCGATTCACACCGTGGGGACGGGCGAGCGCCCGTCCATCGGTGTCGGGGTGCTTCGAGTGGTAGGTCGTTTCGCGATTTGCCTATTGAGGTCAGGGTGACCTTCTGGGCTTCGCTTTGGCGAATCAGAGTGGGAGAGGTTATATAAATCAGGTTAAATCCATTGTACTGGCCATGCTATTCATGGTTTAGTCATAATGTTGAATTAAAAAAACAACATGTATATCACTAATATATAGCATTTATATTATATATATTATTATATATATTACAATACTATTGTATTGTATCTTGTACTATATTAAGTAACTATCTATATATAAATATATCTGGTGTATATATACATATATATTGCATAATATAACTTAACAGGATGCTGTAATGAGGAGCAAATGTCCAGTTCATGCACTTACTTCAGCCTCATGATTGAAGGAAAACCAGAAGCAATGATGCTTCTGGGTCGTTACACCAAAAAAGGAACCACAAGGGTCGTGAGCATTGCATCGAAAACCCCGAGGCACTCGTTGGCGGTGTCTTTTTTTAATCTTAGAATATGATATTATATTATGCTATGGTTATATTTGGTTATATGATTTTATATGCTATAGTTATATTATTTGCAGCACTATAGTTATATTGCGTTATATGATGCTATATTATATGTGTATATACGAGAACCCTCCAACAGATCTTGGAGGGTGCTGGCAATAAATACGTGTTAATCATGCAATATGATATTATGCCTACTGTTGATTGCACCGTCGGTTCACTCAGCACCCTCCCCCGGTGCGGTGGCCTGCGGGCGTCTCGTTGTTTTTGGCCAGCTCAGCGTTCAAGAAGCCCGGCCCGGGTCGAGTCAGCACGGACACGTCCACGATCTTCAGGCACGTGGCCGCGAAATGGGCGTAGCCACACAGGATTGGACAGTAGACGACCACCTGGCGGCTGCACGGTGTGGGAACGACACGGTGGTGGACCCCTGAACGACACGGTGTTCACGGTGAACGACAAGCGTGGGAGTTGGCACGTGGCGGGAGTGGCAATGGGAGTGGCAATGGGGGTTCGTTCGTGTTTGGCTTCATGAACCAGGGCCACAACTGGCCATGTCCTGAAGGACACCAGCCTTACGTGGGCCATTGGATGTGAAGCATGGGAGATCTGCTGAGCTCTAGTCACTCAGCCCTGAAACATTTTACACCAAACCACGAGGGTCGAAGCTTCAATAAGGCCTCGAAGCTTCGCGGTGGTGGAGGGTGTCAGTAGCACCACAGGGGAGGGGATCTTGCGGGCCCGCCCGATGCAGCGGGCCCGCATTCCTTGAAAACCAGGTTGATACCAGCACCGTTCGATTGGTGTTGCCTGGTGACAACTGATGCCTGGGTCCCAAAACAGCCGAACCGACTGCAGGATTCTAGTATAGTTCAGTGACTGAAGTGGACGGACAAATTCTCCGGCCAAGGCGTCCTCGTGAGATAGGTGGAGTGATATTCTATAGATATATAGGTGGAACGATTTCCACGTACTTCAAGGTGCGATCCAAACGGGTGTCCAAACAGGTCTTTGGCTGGGATCCATGAGCATCCATTCCGGCACCATCCATGGGTTTTTGCCTGGAAGGCATGGTCATTTGCGGTTCCGGTGGATGCATCAGATACCTTTCGTGTTGCTGAGTAACGACCCACACGTTTCAGAGCTTTGAAAACGCTCCTTGGCCGTCGCGTTTGATCGGCCTGGGACGTCGGACGTCTGTGTCACATCGACTCACAGCGACTCACATCGGCCCCCGGGGCCTTGGGCGAAAGAGTTTTGAAGAAGTCCTTGAAGACTGGAATCAGCCTCTCAGTGGCAATGCTTCCAAACTGCGCCGACCAGGTGGCAGTTGGATCCTCATAGTCCTCGTGGATCCTTTTCAAGTCCAGGCCATGAGCTGTACAAAGATCCTCTTTTCAGAGGCGTTGGACGAAAAGCGGCGACAGAAGATCTGGACGGATCTGGACAGAAGATCTGCCAAGTACGTGAGGGTTTTTCAATGCGTTTCATCTATAGCACCAGCCCAAAGGCCCCAAACATGTAGAAAAAACGCTTGCGTAAGTGGGGCTTTGGGAAGAAGGAGCCTGGCAGCCCGGCAGCCGGTGAACAATATCCTCCAGGACCTTCGAAGTGACCTCTTGAGATCCCAGAATGAGGTCACTTAGGCTCGTAAAGGGTCACTCAGAGTCTCCAAAAGAGGTCACTTCGAAGGTCCTGGCTTTCCACCTTTTCTGAGATTTTGGGGGATCATGGAGCAATCCTCAAGTGGATGACTCGTTTGCAGGCTCTTCTTGTCATCCAACCCTTCTTGAGGGTCAAACCAGCGTCCCACATCACTTGTTTTGCACGAAGCGTTGGAGCAAACTGATGAAAACTCTGAGTGGGACTGCTCCAAGCAGATGAACTGCCAAGCCACAGCTGAATCCAGATGAACCCAGACTGATGGAACTTTGAAAAAGCCAAAGACTGCATGAAGTAAAGAAAGTTCCCCTTCGAGTCACTTGTACCTAGAAAGCGATTCTTTCGTCTGGGAGCAGACGAAAGAAAGCATCCGTCTAGGTCTAGGTACGATCTTTTGAAAGATCTTATCGAAAGCACATGGTGAGACTACCTTGTGAACTCGATTCCACCAGCCTTCGTCTGACTTAGTCCATGGAAAAAGGAGGATCCATTGGGGAGAATGACGGAAGCGTTGCTGAAAAAACGTCACGTTTCTCAACAGCAAAATGACTGTCAGTATGTCCACATCTGACAGTCAAAGCGATCCTTGAACTTATTATATATGGACCCCTCCACCCTCTGGGTCTTCAATTTCTGGCCCACAACATCGTTGCTTGTGGGTGTCTACTGAAGATCCCTTGGGATTGCTGGAGATTTGTTGGGATTCTACTGAAGATCCCTTGGGATTGTTCCATTTGTTTTGCCAATGCTCAGCTAACTGAGGGTCATAGCCTGATAGCTATTGAGGTGTCACTGGAAAAGTTGCCGAATCTTCAGGACTTCTGAAGGAGGAAACCTGGCAACACAAAAATGAGGAAAATAGGAAGGATGAGGGAGCAATCTATGGCCAGCTGTCTCAATTATATACATGTATAATAGTTCTATAGCAACCATATATTCATACCATCCAACCTCCTCGAACCGTTGCTCAGTTTCCTCAACACCACATGGTCCATTCCTCTCAGACATCGGCCGAAGACCTCTTTCACCTCTCCTCGATGTCATGGAAGGCTGCCCCCGCGTCCCGGATCTGTTCCTCATAGCGTTCTTCACAAACGTATTCGATCTGCCATCCCAGGGAGACGAGGTTGCGGCAAATCAGCAAGGAAGGCTCGACATGATCCGTGCGACCGGGAAAGACGAAGGCACTCACCGGCCTCGACATCTAAAGCCAGCATCGGCGCGCAAGCAACGGTGCATGGTGAAACCTGGGTGATCTGGGTATGGATGGGTATGGTAAGAACTGGCTCATTTTGCCGATGAATACACCCCCCCCCATGTGGGTAGAAACTCTCCAGGCCGGTTGAATCAAGGGTCTGATGAACAAAAGAACCGCCCGAAAGAACCGCCAGTCATCTACACCATCCCGAGACCTGGTTGTGGCAATCAAAGTAGTGTAGGGTAGCCCAAAACAGGATGGTGCTGGTAGACTGTTGATGAAGCTCAAATCCCAACCCTGCGGAGATTTAAAACTATTCTGGAGACCGGGGGGTTGGTTCATATTCTGCAATATTCTGCAATGAGTCTACAAGACTCGAACTCCAAAACGCCCTGCGAGTTTCCGCGTTGGTTCTCACGGCCGTGATTCGTCAATCGCCGCCACATGGGATGTGGGAAAGCTGTGGAACATGGAAGTAGGTCAAAGGATCTGAAATGCATCAAAGGAAGGTGCAACCGAGGAGCCGAGCCTGACACTTGGTGCAACATCTGCCCTCAGCCCTTCCTGGTCACCCTCTCCGAGCTGTGGGAATTTGGGGCTCTGGTTGAAGGAAGAAATACGGCAACCTGGTGAAATGTACCGATGGAAGAGTGTCTTCCTTCAACAGCAGGGCTTGCTTTCCGGCCTTTACATGCCACACATATGGCAGGTGCTGTCAGCACCAGCCAGGTTTCATCTTCTTTGTACACTCCCTGAAAGAATCACAGAAGTAGAAACCACCTGTTTGTAGTGGAAGATGGTCATCCAACGGGCCATGTTCCACTTCCATGAATGTAAGGTAGTGCTGTGGCGGGAGTCTTGAGTATGCACCCCTTTTACTTCAAGAGAGAAAAACATGAGCTCTGCCATTCTAAAGGATTCCTTGGCAAAAGCTGGGAATCCAGCCGCATCCATGCCCTTCCCAAGAAGTATACGTGTCCAGTCCACCAAAAGACCCAAACCGTTTGGAACGTCCGGTCCGTCCCACCGAATCGATCGTGCCTGTCGGTCTGACCCAGCACGACCCGTCTTCTGTTTCACCGCCCCCGGCGGTGCGAATCGCGTCGACCTGGGGCGGCCGGACCCGGACCCCTTGGACCCCCGGGCCTGGCGTTCCACTGCTCGTTCCCCGGCGCTTCGATATTCACGGTGGACAGCCTGAGTGATGCTCCATCCAAGAGAGGTTGAGTGACCGTAAATCGGACCCTATATATACTGGGGTACCCAACTGGGATAGGGTCCTTCAACCTCTGATGGATGGTCTGGACCCCTCACTGGCCGCTGAAGTGACTTGTAGTGAACGGTCTTTTTGGGGGGTGACTCCAGGTGCATGAACATCACCATCCTAGGCATTTTCTTCGGTGGCGACCGTGTTTAGATGTTCAGTTTCCGGAGGGTGACTCGTGCCAAAACCATCGAGAAATAAAGAAGCACTTCTCTTCCAAACACTTCTGTGCCACACCTTCTATGCACTCCTCGGCCACAAAGAGACCGCGTTCAGCCTAGATACCGTTTGCTGGATCTAGGTCACCACCACCCATGTCACCCACATCCATCATCGATTTAGCTTCGGCGAAAGAAAGAACACCTGAGACCCAGAAAAGAAATCAGCTGCGGCCATCCCCTGCCCTGACCCATCACCATCACCTTCGATTCTGAGATGCTCAAAGGGCTGTGAGGTCTCTTTCAGCTTCGCCAGTGCCTTCGCAGCGCAGCTCGTCGTTCGAGGTCGCCCCGAACGGGTCGCACCAGGTGCCCCGAACCCTCGATGTCCATGGGGTGGCGAACGGGCCAAGCATTCCTATAGAGGTAGCCAGTGACCGTATAGGCTAGGACCCGTCACCAGGGGTACCCAACTGGGATAGTCTAGTTCGGGTTCTTCAACCTCTGCTGGTTTGACCGAAACCTACCTCGCACATCATCGTTCATGCCTGCCAGCAGTCCGCGACCATGGTCTGGCGACATGCGGTCTATAAGAAGTCCAGAATGGTCGAATCTTTGTCTCAACAGTGGCTGATTCTAGAGTAACTTATATAGATCGAATTCTTTGGTTGCATAGTGATAAATACAGCTTCGAACTCTTCATACATGTTAAAAATATCACCGACCTAGATTAACTATCATGGGTGGTTATTTTCAAGCACCGCAGGATTGCATGCCGTATACCGCATAAAAAAACTGCTCCATTCGCACCACGAAGTTTTTTCTGTGGCTGTGAAAGGCTTAGGTGTGTGAGGTTCGTCTTATCGGGGACCCTCCAAGAATCTGGAAGAGAGGTTAGGCTAGGACCCTACTCAGGTACCCAACTGGGATAGTCTAGTTCGGGTCCTTCAACCTCTGATGGCTCCATCTTCTTTGAAGACCTGTGCGAACGCATGGTTGTTCGGAGCTCCGCCAAAGCTGGAGCTAAGGCAGCTAAGGTTGTTCAAGAAGGTCCCCACCCCTCCTGGCGGCACGCCTTGTCGCAAAGAGTGCAACCAGGCTTGGTAAAGAGAGTCACCTCGCATTGCGCGATGTCCAATCCAAGATCAGGGGCTTGAGGCTGTTAGGATGTTGCTCTGGGAGAGTGGCCAGAATCTTCGGCATCGACCGCCAAACGTTAGCGGTCCCAAGTGATCGTTCCTTCTGTACTTCTGTACGGGCGTGTTTCTTGGCATCTTCCACGCCTGTGGCACAGCGCGGCACCGTATGGCATGGGCACGGCCCTGGCAGCCAGAAACCATGAGAACCCCCTAAAGCCTGCCAGCCAAGTTACGCTGTGCATGGGGTAAGGGATCAAAAAAAAGTAAAAATATCTTTTTAAAAAAATATTCAACGGGGATCAAAATAGAAATAAAAAGGGAATCAAAGTCATATTCCAGCCCACTGTGATGGTTGGGGTTGAGCATCGGCTCAAAAGCCTCTGCTTCAAGATCAACAGGAGCAGACAATGAAAGGATATGTGCAACAAGTTATCAAAGAGACTTAGACGACGTGCAATATGTGGTCTGCAAAGTGCGATGGGCGACCCTTTACTGTACATAGTTAGTTTTCGTGGCAGGCGGAGTGCAAGAGTGCAGATTTCGTGGTGCTGGAGGGAGGTTGGGGGGGGAGGGCGCAGCGCCTCCCCCCCAAAGCGAACCAAACATTAAAACACAGCACCACAAAAGAAATCACTATATAGAAATTATGTACCCTATCGTCCTTTCAGTGAAGGGCATCTAAAAGTGCACAAAAGGACCTAAGGCAACCGAAGCCAAAAGCATTGACGTTTGCAGGAAAACTGCGGCCAATAAGCTACAAGAGAAAGGACCAAAGGCATCAAAAAGCATCAGTGAAAGAACACGGAGAAAAACATAGGAAACCCGCAGACCAAAGAACCAGGAGGGCAAAGGACCAGGAGACCACGGGACCGGACCAGGACCAAAGGACCAAGGGGCCAAAGGGCCTGTGGACCAGAGGACCAAAGGACCAAGGGACCAGGGGACCAAAGGACCAGTGGACTAAAGGACCAGAGGACCAGAGGACCCACAGACCACAGGGCCAGGATAGCAGCAGAAGAGGCCTATCCAGGAATATATGTGTTAATCATTCTTTGCTTGATCATCTTTTTATTTTGTTTGATGCTCCTTTTATGTGTTTTGATCTATATGCCCTGTGCATGGGGGTTTCAAGGATTGAGACTCTTAGCAGGAAAGAAGTTGCATCAAGTGTTCTGATTCTAATTGTTCTATCTATCTATATATAGAGATTCTTTCGGTTCAAAAAGGTGTTCCAGCTATCTCAGCTTCCGACAACTCCTGAGCTTCTTGTGGGTTCTGAGTTGTCTGTTTCTGTTCTGGTACACGGCTCATTTTGGAACCTAGAAACGGCTCATTTTAGAACCTGGCTCATTTTGGAACCCAGACGAAAAGAAAACTCTCCGGGACTGCAGCGTGAGACCAATTTCGCGGCTCATTTTGGAACACGCATCATTCGGTAGTGCTTCGAAGGTAGCATTTGCCAGTGAAAATGAGTGTTTCGTACGAGACTTCCTCCAAAAGTGAGCCGCGGAAGTCTCCAGAACGAGCGTATCGTACGAGACTTCCTCCAAAAGTGAGCCGCGGAAGTCTCCAGAACGAGCGTTTTGTGCGAGACTTCCTTCAAAAGTGAGCCGCGGAAGTCTCCAGAACGAGCGTTTTGTACGAGACTTCCTTCAAAAGTGAGCCGCGCAAGTCTAGAGAGAGAGAGACAGAGAGAGAGAGAGAGAGCGCGTTTCGCACGAGACTTCTTTCCAAGGGGAGCCGCGGAAGTCTCCAGAACAAGCGTATCGTACGAGACTTCCTCTAAAAGTGAGCCGCGGAGCTTTGGGGCAGACTGGGAGCTTCACTTCTTTAGGGTCTCTTTTGGTTTTGCTCCGGGCTTCGCTCTTTTACGGTTTCTCTGGTTTGCCTTAGGGGCTTTGCTTCTTTAGGATGTTTTTGGGTTGGACTTAGGGCTTCAATGGAGAGGGGCTTAGGCCTTCACTTCTTTAGTTCTTTTGGGTTTTGCTTCAGGCTTCACTCCTTTAGGGTTTCATGTGG